GGTTCTCCACGATGATGATGCAGCTGACGATGGCGAAGGCTGTGTGGATCAGCCCCATGCCCTCGTCCCCAGACTGCCGGTTGGTCAGCTTGCCCGTGAAGTTGTAGTGCTGCAGGATGATGTTCATATTCCTCATGGCAGCCAGCTGCAGGCAGGAAGATTTCCTGTCAAGCAGGTCGAGTCTGAGCTCAGGATACTGAGCAGAGTCCAGTGGGAGGAGAAGGGAGTGATTCACCAGCCAGTTCAGCACTGGACCATCCATCTTCTGAGCCTAGGTCAGCGGCCGAGGGATGCACGATGGAGCACGAGGTCACAGTTAGGGCTTGGGGCAGAGCAGATCCTCAGAGGGCTAGAGACAGTGGTGAGACTCTGCCACGGAGTACAGACTGCACCCAGCAGCACTGCTCAGCATGGAGATGTTAGAGCCCTGTTTGCCAGCCCTGCAGCACTGAAAGAGCAAGGGGAGAGGAGGGTGAGATGTTTTGTAAGTCCACCCATGAGCATGGGCTTCCTGTTGTTTAATAAAGTTTCCTGTTGTGAGTGAGAATATTGACACCGTTTCAAACAGCTGCCACCATTTCTTGGTAAGGGTCTGGCTGGTCTCAGCTTCGCTGTGGTTGTGAGGTGCAATGTGAGTGAAATAATGTGTCAGGGCCCTCCCTGGGTCAGAGCAGACTGGGTCAAATGGGCTAACACCTCCCACCCTAATGTGAGTAGGGCCTGTGGGGCTGAACAAAACCAAGCACTAGTAAGAGCACCCAGACAGCCTGAGACATTAAGCCTTTTGTGGTACTAAATTCACCCCTGAGCCTGGCAGAGAGCAACTGTTCTGCATCCCCTGTCCTGGGCACCACCCATGCTCATGTACCTCCTTCTCCAGGAAGAAGCTCCAGGCTGTCACTCCTCTGGGCTCTGTGGGCACAGCTCCTGCCACTCTCTCAGAACATATCCACCCATGTCCCACCCTGTCTGTGCACAAGTCCAGGCCCCTGAGTGGCCAAAGCTAAGACTTAGCTCCATCCAGTTCAAATTAAACCAACTGGACAAAGCCAGACATGTTCCCTGACATTGCTCCCTCCACATTCAGCCTCCAAGCACCTGCCAGAGGTGGGTCAGACTCTTCCCATTGTCTGGGTCACAGACAGGGAAGGAGGCAAAAAGCTGCTGCCTCTTGCCATTGCAGAAGGCACAAGGTGCTGCACGGAGCCAAGGAATGGAATGTTAATGTCTATCATTGACCTATTCCTTACGTCTGCAAAACTGAAGAAAGAGATTCTTGCAATGTGCTATTCCCATCTGTGGCTGTGGAATTTGCCTTATGACTCACCTGCCATGCCTGGTGTGAGGCTCTTCCTGCTGGAGGGATGTTCAGCAGCCAGCAGTGCTCTCCAGCTGCTTGTCTGGGGCCCAGCACACACTAGGTAGTGAGGACAGCTCCTTGTGCAAAATAAGTGAGACTTCTACCTACCAAAGTGGAAAAAGGGAAGTTACAACATCAACCACATTTCAGTGCAGAATGGACCCCACCCAAATCAGCTGCAAAGAGGCATAGATAAAAGAAAGACAGAGCACCATTTCACTCAGGATCAAAGCCCTGCCCTGCTTTCACCTGTCTTTGTACTTCAGGCTGGTGCAAAGTCATGGAGAGGTCTTCAGGCTGAGAGCAGAGTGGTAACTTCTTCCATCAGCATGGGAAACAGGGAGTTGTCCTGGGAGTCCGTACACTGCTGGATGAGTGGAGAGACCCTAGCCTGGATGGCAGCATAGACAACTGGAAAATACAAAGAAGGTTTCTGCTGCAGGAAGTCATGTGCAAGCAAGAGTGGTTCTCACCAAAAGCTGAGGGCTCCATCCTCCACCTTCTCCCTTTCAGCTGGGGTTTGGGGCTTTTCTATCAGCAGTGTGGAAGGCAACTCATGCTGATAAAGTCAGCAGATGACCCCAAGATTGAGGGAGCA